GCTGAAGTCGTATTTCCTGCAATCAAGTTTGGTGCGGTTTACTTTGAGTTTGTATCTATTGTGTGCTCTTGTGTTGTTATGGTTGAAGCTGAAGTATTCATTGACAGGTAGGACATTGCAATGTATGATTTTATATACCATGCTTAAGTCAGACCGAAGACGGCGTAATTCAAGGTTTTCTAGGTCTAGAATTTCGAGTCTGGTGGCATAAGGTATTCTACAATGAGTAGAGGAGTGGAGAACTCTTCTTGTGAAATATTTCTGGACTTTCTCAATTGTGCTAATATCAGATACGTAATGCGGGTTCCAGACCAATGAGCTGTATTCGAGTATTGGTCTAGCAAATGTTTTGTATTGCTCTAGTTAGTACTGTGATATTACCAGAGAAAAAGCTACGTAGGATGAGGTTAACAACTCTTAATGCCTTGTTGGCTCTGTAGTTACAGTGGCCTCTAGCCCTTAGATCATTAGAGATGAGTTACTCCAACGTCCTTGACGGAGTTTGGATCCTCAACAAGGTCTTGACTATTCAGCCTGTATTTTATTTTCTGATTTATTTATTTTTTTTGCCAATATGTAAGACGGAGTGTTCATTTGTTGGGATTTGAAGTTGCCATTTTTTTGACCGTTCTTGATACACAGTCGAGGTCTTTTTGAAGGGTAGCGGTATTGTCTGTGGTGTTGAACAGCTTTACATCATCCGCGAAAAGAACGCAGTTGCTCTTAATGTGATCACAGAGGTCTTTTTATTTTTATTTTTGGAAGCTTCCTCCTGTCTGGATGCCCTCTGGTGCCCCCTCTGGACAAGCAGGGAGAGAGAAGACGGGCAGGGAGGGAGAAGATGGGATGATCTCACCCACCCCCAGCTTAAGAGGGACCCCATCTCCCCATGTCTGCCCCCCCCCCACCCCCTTTCATGTAAATTTTTGCTCCCATGTAGGAATGGCCTCCACGGAGGGAGACGGCGAGGCTGTCCAGACGGGCCCGGCCTTCAAGGAAGTCTGGCAGGTGAGCCTACGTCCTCGGGGCCTGGGCCACTCCCGGAACCTGGCCGGGGTCTACCTGCTGTGCCTGACCGAGAAGACGGTCAGCCTGGTGAGGCTGAACACCGAGGAGGCCGTCGTCGTCCTACAACTGCTCAACATCCGGCGCTGCGGCCACGCGGAGAACTACTTCTTCATGGAGGTGGGCCGCTCGGCGGTCACGGGGCCCGGCGAGCTCTGGATGCAAGTGGAGGACCTGGTGGTGGCCCAGAACATGCACGAGACCATCCTGGAAGCCATGAAGGCCCTCAGCGAGGACTTCCGGGCCCACGGCAGAGGGCAGGCCCTGCCTTCCACGCCCATCCTGGTGCCGGCCCGACGGCAGCCCCACGCCAATCCTCCGCCGGGACAAGGGACCTTCCCGTGGAGGAGCCGCTCCGAGGGAGGGATGACGTCTTCGGGTCGGAGCCCCGCGACCCCGGGGCCAAAGAAGCTGGCGGGCCGGAAGGCGGATTCCTTGAGCGACTACAGCGCCCTGTCGTCCGACGAAGGCGGCTCCAGCCCGGGAGAGCTGCGTCCCCCTGGCACGCCGGATCCCTTGAGTGCCGCGGCGGTGGACAGGGATCTCGACTACGTCAGCATGGGCCAGCGGGCCTCCCTAGGCAAGTGGCCCTTGGAAGGCCCACCCAGCCAACGGGCATCTCTGCCTCCGTTGGTCCTGGGCAAGGGAACCCCCGGGCGGCTGCGTCGCCGGCAGACGGCTAGTCCTTCCGCCGTTTCGGCAAGCTACCCTGACGGACTAAATGTGCCCGTCGGAGACCCGGGGTACATGGCTATGCTGCCTGGGGCGGCCCTGAGCCCCGAGGAGCAGGACTACGTCCCCATGACGCCCAGCGGCGTCTCTCCGTCCCAGGAAAGCGGGGGCTACGTGTTGATGTCCCCCAGCCGGAGCTGTTCCCCGGACATGACGGCCCAGTGGGCTGCAGGCGGCGGGGAGGGGAAATCTCCGTCCGGCGAGTACGTCAATATGTCGCCGGCTGGCCCGCCGGCCCTGGACATCCCCACGGAGTACTTGTTGCTGGGGCCCCCGCCGGTCTTGTCCCCGCCGCACTCCTCCAGGCGTGGCCCCCATGCCCGCTGGGCCCCCATTGGCCCCCGACGCCTCTCCTGCTCCTCCTCCACTAGCTCGGAGAGCCTCGAAGAGGCCGCCCACTACCCCGTTGGCCTGTTTGCTGACCCGCTCCGTCGGCCTCTTTGTTCGGGGTCCGACTACGTCAACTTGGCGCTCCGAGGGACGCCCGCGGACGCCGGGCGGGTGCCGTGGGCCGGTTGGCCCTGCGAGGCCGAGGGGAACCCGCCGCCCCCGCCACTGGACCTGGCCCCCAGGGAGAGCGGGCTGAACTACATCGACTTGGACCTGGGCAGAGGGTCTGTCCCGGACCTGGCCGCCTTCCCTCGGCGCCCGTCGGCCGGCCCCCACCAGGCAGGAGCCCCCCACAGCTACGCCAGCATTGACTTCCAGCGCCTGGGGGAGCTGCCCGGGCCGGAGGAGACCCCCAAAGGGCCTCCAGGTAAGTGAGGGGGGGGTGCGGGCCTTGGGCTGCCGCGGCTGACGGCCAGCACCTCGTAGTTTGGCCTAGATCCGAGTCTTCGGGCAGCGTTGGCTGAAGGTTGGCGTTGGGCACTTGGGGACCCCCCTCCCACATTATCTGGGGTTGGGGGGGGGAAGCCCCTCCAAGGCCAGGGATAGACTACTGGCATCTGGGTGCCCCACAGCTTTCCCCCCCCCCGAGGTGGCTCTGACTGGCACGGCCCCCCTGGGCACGGCCGGCTAAGCCGGTGACACCGTATCCCCTGTCCCCCGTCCTTGAATGGCCAGGCAGAAGGTTGGCGGGACGGGGGGTGTCTTCAGCCACTGCCAGCCGTTCGCTCGCCCCCGTTTCGGAAAGGCGTTGTTTTGAGCTGGGGGGCCCCCCGTGCCGAAGGCGCCTCTGAGGACGTGCCGAGGGCCTCCCATTTCCCCCAGGGGTTGCTGTGGGCTTTACCGAGGGGGTTTTGTAGGCAATGGACGGCTGCCGTTGGCTCCAGGCGCTGCCCCATATGTATATTTTTTGGGGGGAGGGGGAGAGAGAGAGAGAGATCGGGGGGGGGCTCTTCTCCATCCAGACAGGTGGACTACACCTCCCATCCACTCTGGACGGCCCAGGATGATGGGTAGAGCGGGAGTCAGGGCTTGGGGCCCTTGGCCGCATCCGAAGAGGCGGCTCCTTCGTTTGGGTTGAAGAATCGCCCCAAATTGCTGGGATGTTTTTCATGGCTTTATGTCCGTGCGGATGGCGTTGAAAAGCTGCCCGTATGGTTCCCCCTTCCATATAAATGAGCCGGCTGACCCGTACATTTAAAATTAATTGAAATTGAAATTGAAATTGAAATTGAAATTGAAATTGAAATTGAAATAAATTAAAATTAAAATTAAATTAATTAAAATTAAAATAATTAAAATTAAAATTAACATTAAAATTATTAATTAAAATTGAAGTTGAAATTGAAATTAATTAAAATTGAAATTGAAATTAATTAATAATTAAAATTAAAATTAAAATTATTGAAATTGAAATGAAATTGAAATTGAAATTGAAATAAATTAAAATTAAAATAATTGAAATTGAAATGAAATTGAAATTGAAA